CATGAGCTTTCAAGTACCTAGACCCATCAATTTTCGACATTCCCCGTGGCAACCTATTTTTTGGCTAAGTTCGTAGAAGAGTCCGTGACCAAACCACACTCCCGAAACCCCCAAAGCCCCAAAGAACACGAACGGAAGAGGCCGAAGACGTTCTCGTCACTTGCATGCCGGCCCCTTTTTGTTGCAATCATTTTCGGGGTCCCCAAGCCCTAAACCGTAAGCCCCAAACTGTACACTGCACACCATAGTTATACAGTGTAATACCTGAAAAGCCTGAACCCTACCCTAAACCGTAAGCCCCAAACTGTATACCCTTCTATACCTTGAAAAGCCTGAACCCTAAACCTTACACCCAACCTTCAAGCACACTGTCTTGTGGAGGCCCTGGTGCTTCTCTCTGCATTGGAAACGCAACTTCGAGCCAACGCCGCTGTGCAGAAGGGGTTTAGGGTTGCCTAACTCCGCAGGTTCCTACTATGTAAGGCCCTAAGGGCTCTAGTACCCTATATAGTAGGTACCTGGCCGGTTAGGGTTTATCTGGGTTTCCAAAAACCTACCGTTTCAAGGGTCAGAACATGTATTTAAGGGGTCATCGTCATCACATACTATTTCGTAGGGTTTGGGGACACAGGTAGGGAAGGCGGGCAGTCAGCCCCAGAAAGTTGGAACATGGTTGAAGGATGATTAGGGGATCAGGAGCACGATGTTCCAACTTTCTGGATTTGCTTTAATTCCTGGAAGCCCAGTTACATAGTTGTTGGGCTATTGTTCCTTAAACCTTGTGGAAGCCTTACCCTAAGGGTCCATGTACCCTAATAGTATCTACTTTGGCCTCAAAGTACCTTTGGAGGGACTACTTTCTGGCCAAAATATGTTCTACTTGGGTACATGGACCCTTGTTATGGCTTTATGGCGCAACCCTAAACCCTAAACCCTAAACCCGATAATCTACCACAGAGGTTGGCTTCAAAACTAGCAATGGCAACGCTTGATCACCTGCATGCGCAGGTTTAGGGTTTAGGGCTCCATCCTGGGAATAAACCTTAAACCCTAAACAGTAAACCCTGAACCCTAAACCCCAAACAATAAACCCTAAACCCTAAACAATAAATCCTAAACCCTAACCCCAAACAACAAACCCTAAACCCTAAACCCTAAACCCCAAACAATAAACTATAAACCCTAAACCCTAAACAATAAGACCAGTCGAGTCTTTACCCGGTTTGGGGTTGCGGCATCTTCCGGTTTTCGTTGCGTCCGCAGTGGGCTTCGGACTTGGGATTGGCTATCCGGCTGCCAAGATAGCAATTTAGGGTTTAGGGCAAAGAAGCCACAAAACCCTGAGACTTGAAACCATAAGCCCGAAATCTCCAAACAATCCTAAGCCTAGAACCTTGCTTGAGGTCATCACTTTCAACGCCACCCTCAGTGCCCTCGAGAAAAGTGGGTGCTGGCAACGAGCTGCGGCTCTCAAAGACTCCCTCCAGGCCCAAAAAGAGACAGAGAGAGAGGGTTTAGGGTTTAGCGTTTTAGGGTTTAGGGTTTAGGGTGTAGGGACAAACATCACAACATACATGTGTATGGTTGTGATCTGTCCGTTCTGGACCCCCCCACCCCTCCCGCCTTTCCCGCAATCGTATCCCCCCCAAAAAAAAACCAAGAGCCTAGGGTTTAGGGTTTAGGTTGCAGTGCGGAGGGATCCTGTTTGAGATCTCAGTGCAGGCTCGCTCCCAAACATAAGTCGCCGGAGCGTCCATTTACACTACCATTGCGGAATGCAGCCCCCCCCAATACTGGTTTGAGGGGGGGGGGGGGGGGGG